CACTCTGGCTTGTTTTGTTGTGTACTCACTCCACACAAGTAAAATAATGTGATCCAAGTCGATCGTTGATCTTCAGTTTGTCAAGCAGCAGACTCAGTCCTTTGACTCTCGCTGATCAACATTTCAGTAGGTCGTATGTACACTGCTTAAAAACAAAGTCAGCCCTACTAATGTCACAGTTTCTTTGTTATGCACACACTTCAGGATAAATGAAATGTAAAATATTTAACTTTTCTTTAGGCAAGAGGAACATAGCTTGCGTAACACAGCCTTCCCCCCAGAGGTTTCTCTCCCTTAAATATGCAGTAAGCAACAGGATATTAGCAAGCAGGGGAGGACAGGCCAGCCACAACATGAAACTCTGTGGAATGTGTAGGAAGATCTCCGTAGGTGTGTAATAGTAGGTTAGTGGTCACACTACAGTCTTTACATCTGAGAATTCTCACACTCTGCCATAAAAAAAAAAATCACCTTACTTCAGCTAAAGTCCCACAGAGACACAGACTTTATCACAACTGGTTGTTACTAAATGTTTGTGGCCCAATTTACTTAAGTGTTGGGGAAAGAAAATCACCAAGAGAAACACAAGTTCACTGATTTCTACAATTCCAATCAAACTCAGGTACTCATGAAGGATGGCAATATGAAAGAGTTTTCAGCACTCGTCCAAATCCAATAAGAGATATACTTCAATATCTATATCTAAATCAACTACAGCACTAGTTTTCTGCATTGCCACATACTCTCTTGTCAAACCATTTAAATTCTCAACTCTCTCTCAACCCTCCAAACCGACTCTTCTATGAAGTAACTCCTCTAAAGTGTGTAACCCTAACAAAGTCCACAAACTGTCAAAGGACAGTGACTTGTTAAGCAGAGAACGCCCTCTTTCCATAAACATTTTTATAAAAGGGTGACCCTGAACATAACAGTCTCCAGCCAACGTCTCCCGTGCCATTCCTCTCTCCTCTGAGTGAGCTTTTTCTCCTGTCTTCAAATCTCTCGCAGCCGATGAATCAGTCTGCTCCATCGGACACCTGCGATCCTCGACACTATGTTTACCAGTGATCCCATCTCTGTGTAAACACTTGCTCAGACCTACAACCCTTCGGGGGTCAGGGCTAGAGCGGTGTTAGGAAGAGCCAGCAGGATGGATGAGGTAAGGCCGACTGTGGAGGAGAACCATATGCACTTCTCAACTCGGACGTGTGATAACAGCACTGTGGTGGTGCTGAGCTCAGTCTTGTAAACAGTGTGAAAGCACAAGATGGTGTACAATGCTAGAATAGTTCAAGTCGAACATTTGCTTTCTGTAAAGCTTAGATACATGAACAATTATGAGGGTGTTACTGCTACATATGGTTAAAAGATAGGAGAAAGCAGCAGGTGAACAATAACTGAGGGTGTGATTTGTAGATTTCTGTCAGATCATAACATTTCCCAGAGACAGTTTTGGATCAAACTCACAGGGCAGTAAAAAGCTGAGCAGCAGAGGAGGCTGACAGCTTGACATGGTTGGGAATAGGAGGAGCAAGCAAGTCTTATTTTAGCTACAGGCACTTGACTATTTTAGCTTGCGTGTGTGTGTGTGCGTGTGCACGGCTGGAGGATTGTGTGAGTGTGTGTTACATTAGGACTCCTCTCTAATACTGTTCACGAACTTGTGCCAAATCCAAAACATCCTGTGCTAACTTCAAGCCCGTGAGGCTAACGGCTAACTAGCTACTGGGCTAACAAGCAGCCAAGATATCGCTGGTGCTGCTAGCCGCGAAGCTAACGCATTCGCATCCGGTACACTTAAGTTTTGCAAACGGAGCGAGTCAGATGAGCGTCGGTGGTTTATACACTTGGCTCCCGGCTGCTGCTTCGGCTGCTCCTCTCAGGTTACCTCCACGGCTACCCCCAGCCTTATCTTAACACCGCTAGCCGCTGTTAGCGCTTAGTTAGCTGGAGGCAGCAGCCGCAGCCCTCTTCGCACCGACACCGTCTCTCCCACCTCCTCTGCCGCGGCCCTTACCATGTCTGCGGCGGTCTCAGCGGGGCAGGGGAGCACGGATTCACCGACGTCTGGACACCTTAGCTTCGCTGCTGGTTTATCGAGTCGCTCCTCGCTCCTCTCGGGTGTTTTTGCTGTTCGTCGCCTTGTGTTTTTGACCCCCCCAGCGGTAGATGTTTTTTTTGTTTTCGCCTCACCCTCACTGAACCCAGCCCTGTCAGCTAAATTCACTTCCTCGACCGGGCTACAGGAAGGAGGCTGCAGGCAGAGAAACGGGCCCCGGTTGCACGTCCGGGTCACTCTGGGCTCTCTCCGCAGCAGCCAATCGCCGAGGAGCGAGAAATGCATTGCCAAGTATGGAAAGGGCGGAGTGGTACAGTAAAGACTGAGCTGCACACAGGGAGCTGCACGAACACCTAGCTTTAACAGAACGAGCTGACATTCATGTAAAACAACTAAATACTGTGCACTTGTATTTTCATCTGAGATCTTCTGCCAACCCTGATAATATGATCATTCATTGATTGATTTATTATTTAATATTTATACTTGTTCGCACCACGTTCTACTGTCATAACCTCTGATGTGCGTTTACTAACAGGTTTGATCACGTTATTATATATTAAGTATTGTACCTTTTGATTATTTGATTTTATACCTGTATTCTTGTGTTCTTCCTTTATGTCATGATATATTTGTTTTGATTGTATCTGCGTGATGATTGACTGTCTTGAAAGGCACCCATAAATAAAATGCATTATTATTTATTATTACAGAAATCCATTTATTATTTTGAATTTGTTTATTGCCAAAACCCAAAACTCAAATCCTTTTGTTTTATTTTATTTGTACTAGCTTTGCCATAATTTTTTTACATTTATACTGGCATTAAAATTTATTAATGTACCTTTTATTTTGAACACCCCTTTTGAGTTTAGTCCAGCTGAATGAAATATATGACTGTTTCTATTGAATTCAACTTTTTGTGTGTAGTCACAATCATACATTATCGTAAGGCACTTTATATAATGAGACGTTCCGAACTCGTAGATGAGGTAGCAAATCTCTTTTTTAAGAATAGGACAATATGGTGGATATCCCTTGTACTGATGATCTTTAAGAGTCTTTTTGATTAATGGTATTTTTGAAAAACTGAATTGAAGTAGTCCCTGCAATGTAAAAGGATGTTGAATACTAATGATCACTTTTTTGGTTTGCTAGCATGAATTAAACTAAGCTGCTCCCTTAAATTAGCTTATTACTGCATGATTACATTTCAAAAGAGCTGCAAACTAATGACCTTGGATGACAAATTAATGACTATTTTTCAGAGAAACAAATAGGCTTCTACTATTCAAATGTTTAAAGTGGACAAAGTCTTGTGTGGGTAATCTTATTCAGTTGTAGGTGACTATCACAGTTCAGACAATATGTGAGTGAAATCTTTTCCATGATCCTGAGGGTAGGGCACTTCCTGTAAAGAAAAGGTCATTTCATCACTTCAGTTTCTAAGTTATGTTTTTACTGTGATTATAGCAGCCATTTCTCAGGGGTAGCAAAGATTGTAAAAGATCTTGAGGTGTGTCAGGGTAAAAAGAAAAGCATAAGTGACCCATTTATAAATGCTTTTCTGAAAATCTCCATATGAAAGCCATCATGACATTTTGTAAATGGACTTTTCTCCCTGAAGCTGTGTGTGCATCCTAGATTGTTTGTAAATGGTAAACCTGCCTGTAAACCCCATGGACATCTGCATGTTATTCACTGTTTGGGCAGCACAGCACTTGGACTTTCAGGAGTCTGCTGGAATTTCAGAAGAGGAGGACAAATCCATACAACCCTGAAAACAATCAGAAGGATTTGGAATGCATGAAGTTCTTTTTTTAAACTACACATATTTTTGATTAGAAGATGGGGTGGCTCAATTTCTCTCCCAGAGTATGTCAAATCTAGATGATGTTCCAGCTGAAACATATTAGAGAGAGTTAACCCAGTTGCAGATATTCTCAACAGATGTTACTGTCTGTGTAACACTATGTGGGAACCCTATAGTTTTCTGTTCAGTATGGTGAGTGTTTGCATTATTCCCTGAGCATATATCCTATGTAAGTGGTCATGAACACTTTCACCAGCAGTGAAACCTTGTGATGTAAAGAACTTCTGTCAGATGAATAAGATGCCAGACAAGAAACATTAATCTTGTTTTAGCCACTATGCACTGGTTCCCTATATGTTTTAGGATTGATTTTACGATTTTACTGATTACTATTAAGGCTATTCATGGCCGATATAACCACTTTTAGTGCCTCTCTAACTGGCTTGTAGCTTGAGATAGTCAGACACAGGCCTGCTATCTGTCCCACACTCACCAGATAAAGACTTAAGGTGACAGAGCCTTTGCAGTCCAGGCCTCGAGGCTCTTCAATGCTCTGCCTGAAGAAATCAGATTGACTGACTTAAAATTCCCTTCCAAACACATACTTTTAGTAGAGAGTCTTTCATGATTTGACTTGAATTTCAATTTTGTATGAATCTGGCTTTTGACTTTCATTAATCCTTAATTCCGATGATTCATGAGTTATTCGCTTTTATTGTTGCCTTATTTTGAAAAGTTCTGTATAAATAAAGATGATGATGATGATGATGATTATTATTATTATATTGAATATTGTTAGTATAAGGTGATCAATTATATATATTATACAATGTTAAATATCTCATTGCTTAGAATTAAGAATATCACAGTGAGGAAATTATTTACATATACTACACACACACACACACACACACACACACACACACACATATATATATATATATATATATATATATATATATATATATCCATCATTTGAAGTGGGCAAGTACAATATTTGTTAATATGAATGTTCCAGATGTATGTTAATATAGCAGCTACATTTAAAAAAACAAACTAAAGGGAATAAACTGAGCAGTGATTGAATGAGGTTTATTATCCGAGGATGAAGGAGCATGCAGGAGGTGGTCACGTCAAGACACGTTGCTCTCGCGATATTTGACGGAGCTGAGTTCCCGGCAGAAAACATGGCAGGAGAACAGGGACGGAAGTGGGATCGTTGCCTCGCAGATACAGCTGTGAAAACAGGTGAACGTCCTTCACTGCATGTCGTGTGATAATGTAACACTGTCACCAGGCTGTATACAGCATATTACCCCCGGGTTTTAAACTGTGGGGTCCAGGTCCAGGCTGGAGCAGAGGTCATTCTCTGATGGAGATCCGTGTGACCGAGCTGAGACAGTTTACTGAGGTCAACTGTACACATGTCCGCTGAATGGATTCAACTGCGTGTTTTGATTATTGCAGAGGAAGAGTCTGATATTGAAAGACCACGTGGCCTCATGATTCATGTTATAGTCTCCTGTGTCTCAGTGTTAGAACAGTGGGTGGTGAACACATGCGTCAGTCTGTCTGTCTTATCTCACTCCTGTCTCTACATCTCTCACAGCCTGAATCAATATTTTACATGTTAAAGGCAGCAGGCAGAAAAACGGTCCCACTCACGAGTTCATGATTTTCGAGCCCATCAAAACTAAAGTTTGCCTCAGTGGGTTCTCAGGGGTGTGAAAATGAAATACCAGAAACATGTGGTTTTGGCTGAGACTGTCAGACGTTCAGTCTCCATGAAACTACATGAATCTGAAAGTGGTATTTACCACTGAGCAGGGAGTTTCACCACATTAGTGTTTTCAGGTTGTGATCCTATAAAAAAGCCTGAACTCTTATAAAACTTACTAAACATGTGTCACAGCCAACATCAGATGAGGAGTGTGGTTAGTCTCTGAATCTCAAACCTCTCTCTCTGTGATCACTGATACTGTCTTCAACACCCCATTTACATCTGCTATTAAAATGCATTTTTGATGACCGGATTGCAATCAGACAGAGCTTGATCACATTGTGTTCAGATTGGCCAGACAACCTCTGGGGGTTGTCTCTGAGGGATTGTGAACACATTTAATGCAAGTGTAAATGCTAATGCATCCGCAATCCACATGCAAAAACACAACTGTTCCAAACCAAGAGGCAGCGGCAGCCAGTGATCACATGATGTAGTCCTCTTCCCTCCTTACCTGTGAATGCATTGGAAGTTGTAACCACTCGAAAAGAAGGCAAACACAGTAACACAGCATTACAGATGGCTTCTGTCTTCTTCTGTCTTTTTTTTGTAGTTGGTTTTTGGACCTGTGCAAATGAGAGAGCGATCTAACCTGAGCTGGACACAGCTATACCAGTGTGAGACACTCATTAATACCAGGTATAAATGTAATCCGCTGGAAGTCATATCTGGATACGAAACACGTTTTATGCCATATGATCAAGTAACAAGCATCACATAATATATTGTTGTTGTTTACATATAGGTATGTTGCCACTGACAAGATGAGCATAAAATAGTGACTTGGAGGTTTCAGATCAAGTTTATTTATAGTGTTTGGTTCTGTACTGGTCCAGCACTCGAAATGCCTAGACTGGTAAACTGTCTGTACCAAGAGACACCAGGGAAGTCAGCGCTGGCTCAATAAAATGTTTCTTGCTGGAAGGAAAAACATCTGTATCGTGGCGTCTCTGAGCTCAGTTTAGGGGATTGCCAGCTGTACCAACATGTCTGTTAGTCAGAGAAACTCAGCTGCATATACTAACTTCTGCTTAGGGGCTTGTTTAAAAAGTACAATATTTTTGTCAAAATTTCACATGATAATTCAGGAACAAAAATTCCGGCTTATTTTGTGTAACATTGTGTGAGTGTATCAATAACGCCTCTAGCCTACTTATATATTTAGCACCACTGATTTTGTGGTCAAACTCTTGGATCTCCTACAAAGGAGACGTGCTGCCCTTATAAAGGAAGCTCAGGATTTTACACAGTAGCCAACTGGCCAATGATAAAAGTGAAGAAACCACGAGAGCACTCAAATCCAACTTCTTTTAGCAAAGGCAACGTCAAACCAATTGCATGTGGATTGATGCTACAGAGGGAAACAATCAGCAACATCCTCTTCAGAGGAGGAAAAAACAGTGTTTATTGGAAACATGGTATTTATATGAGGAACTAGGGTGAGAAAGGCCAGTAATAATTGTAGTACAACTCAGCACAGTCTCATTTGTTTGAACTGATGATGTTGAAAGGACTGTGTGTAACTTTAACTAAAAAGATCAGAACATGTTTCTCTGTAAAAACTGAACCAGCCCAGCCAATTGTCACTCACAATTACATGTATTTACTTTTGCACTTCAAAACTAATATTGTGAATAATTCTGTACAGTTCTGCAGTTTGTTTTCCTACAAATACACTTTTCTATCCCTGTACCCTGTATATGCTTTATATCAACAAGACGAAGAGTCCACAGCAACATTGGAGCCTTTGTGAGGCTGTACTTTGATGCAGTGGTGTTCTGACTTAAATATAAACATGCTCACAGTAACAATTTAAATGTGCTGATTCGTAGCAGCTTTAATGTTCACCATGTTAACCGCTCACACCATAAGTACAGTACATTAGTATGATATCATTAGCTATTTAACAATAAACACAAGGATCATATTATTTCTTTCATTAAAGGTTCCCCTGAAAGAGAACCTGTGGGAGCCTTCAAAACTCAAAAGGTGTTTAGTTTGTCCTGTCTGGGCTACTGCAAAAAACATGGTGGCCTCTGTCGAGAGGACCCGCTCCTGGTTTAAATATAAGTATTTCAATTTAAAGGACTCATTCTAGGGTAAAGAAAACACAATTTTGTACTATTTAGATGAAACACACCATGAAAACATCACTAGGAATATTTTGTATTCAATTTCTAATAGATCACCTAAATCTTACACCCTTGAACCTTTAAAGCTCAGCTCAACAGTGGCCCCTCCAAACACAGTTTTAAAAAATGTGCTTTCACAATCATTTTAAAATAGCAATGTTGAGAAAAAGAAAATGCCAGCAGTATAATTCACGAAGTGGTGATGATTGCAAGTGAATGTGTCATTGATGCCTTTTGCAGAAAACGTCAGTAATGAGAAAAATAACAATGCAGTTAACCAGCTCTGAACCTGTCTACAGAACTTATTGTGCGTCCTCAGGCCTGTGGGTTATACAATCATTCTACTCCAGCACAAATGTTTTTGTTATAATCCATCCCCCTTGGAGATGTCCAGACGAAGAGAAGTGATGCCAAAATGAGATGTTGATCTACCCTCACATTTTGCCAGTGCTTTTTACTGTATTTCTGTCAGTGGAAAAATCGTAGGTTTCAAAAATGCTCTGGCTGGAGAGCAAAGACAGAGCGAGGCTGTAACAGAGTGAGGATCTTAACTTTAAATGTTTTCTCGACAAGGAGGCAGAGGATGGTGATTTTTTTGTTGTTGTTTTTTTTGTCGACGTGCCGTGATAATGAGGACGCACAGGAGCTTTTGTGGTCCTGTCTGACGTGTAGATGTTGTAATAGGAAACAGTTTGAAGGTTCTGGTTCAGGCAAAGAGGTCATGCTGCATAGCTCTCTGAATCCAATTAAGACTCGGAGGGGCCCAAATACTTGTTTTTATGTGTTTTCTGTGCTGGCTGGTGTGCTGTTGGGTGCGGTGTGGCCTGCAGCGAGGTGAAGTTAAGCACACAAACACATTCCACCTCGAGATCCCGCTCTGGTCGAAGCATTTCTAACAACCCAGGCAACTTCTGTGCCTTCGACTAACCTTTTACTTGACCACGGTGTCAAGACATCACTTAACCTGCGTGTGTGTGCACTCGTTTACAGATTACCTCCCCTGCCCTCTGCATCATGAATACTGACCTGGCTCCTTTTTAACTCCAATCCCCCTTTCTCGCACCCCTTTAACAGTTTCTTCCTCTCTTGGACGTTTGAGCTCTTGCTGTTTTTTCTCCCCCTCCCTTTTCCTAATGAGCAATGTCATACTAACTTTGCTGCTATTTACCAACTCCCGCATCAAATGTAAAAGCGGCCCCCCTGCAGACCTCATTACAACAGATTTACATCTATGCCAGTACATGCCATACATCCTGATTCAGACGTGATCCCATTACCTGAGTATTTGAGTCAAATCATTAGGGCGTGTATTTTGATCGAGCCACTCATACTTTCTTCCTTCCTCCCTGCAGTAACTGGCCTTGGTGTGGGCATCATGTTCTCTATCCTTTTTTTTAAACGTAAGTGATCTTTTATCAAGTTAACCCAGTAAAACAATGTTGTTTTCTTTAAAGATTCTATTTTAAAATGCTATTCCCCCCCCGCGCTCTTAGGTCGGACGTGGCCTGTGTCATTGGGTTCAGGTCTGGGACTTGGCATGGGATACGCCAACTGCCAGCATGAGTTCAGGTCACCGTACCTGATTCACGGACGTCTGGTTAAGGTGAGCACAGAGGGTGAGATGAGTAGTTTTGTTTGAGGTTTATGACACACTGACACGTCATGACACATGGTTTCTGTGTGTGTTTGCTTGTTAATCCTCAGGACCAGTAATGAAGGACTAAAGATGATGAGGATTCGCCACAGAGTCGCTCATCTGTTTTTCAGTTGTCTTTGTTTTCTGTGCTGTTCCTCTCTGCCATGGTGCTGGTGTCCAACGATGCACGTGTTTGTAACAAAAGAGAAGTCAAAATACTTAATAAAGTCATAATGGAAAACTCTGTCTCTCTCTCGCTCTGTTTTTCTGTGTGCATGTTTAAGAAGAAAGAAATGTGGTTTTGGGGGTGGGAGGTAATTTTGTGTGTTAATGAGCAGGGAGACTTGAACTCCTGCTGTTTTGGAATGAGGGCCAGGTTCAGCATCTGCAGCCCTATGAGTGGGAGGATGAAAACTCGCACACAACGATGGAATTAAAGAAAATACAATCGGTGAAGGAAATATCGGAAATTACAACCATGCTGCATTTATGAAGCGCCTTTTCTCGTCAAAGCACTTTGTCCGTGTAATGCATTTCTTATTAGGGGCTCAGTGTCTTGCTCAAGGACACTTAGATGCTTCCTATTGCTAGGAAGTAGTTTTTTTTGCAAATAGTGTGACCTGAAAAAACTGCTTTCTGATTTATAGAATCAGTTTTCTGATATCAAGACAGGAAAACTCCTAGATCATATGGAGAGTATACGTGTTGTTAATGCAGCCCTGTTTTCAGTTGAGAGTTGGACAAGAGCTGTTCTCGTCACTGGGAGTTTGAAAATCGCATCTTCATATCAGCAGGAATCTCTTACATCCTGTGTATTCATTGGCTGAGGTTGTTTTGAGTGTGATTGATCACTCATGTATGATTTCATGGGTCTGCTTCGAGAGAAGAGGAATTGTGTGTGTGTGTGCGTGCGTGCGTGCATACATGCGCACATGTTTATCCAGCCCCCCTGGTGAAGCACAACCCATGGAATGCAGAGGAATGCCATTTCTGGACTGGAGCTCAGTGTTATTACTAACAGGTGAGTTCTGCACTTTGCACGTCTGAACATCACGCATGTTGTACGCATTCACATCAAAGAAAAAAACCCACTGTTGCATGCCCACTCTGCTACACACTCACATTTTCCCTCCCTCCGTCGCAGGAAAGGTTTTCTTAGCAATGTTAAGTATAAGCACATACAGTACATTCCTGCACACAACAGAATTAAACCCGCTTCAGTGTGTTCAAAGGCCTGTTTTCTTCAGCGCCGGGTGTACTGCGGTGCTTTAGACACAGAGTAACCCTGTCAGAAATTAAGCCGTGTCACTCATCCCCTGTCCATTAAAATATTTGTTTGCAAGTGAAGCGTGAAACAGATAGGGGGGCTTATGAACTCCAGCCAGGCTGAACACCTGCGAGCAAGGAGCACTGACGGGATGAAGTGTAGGAATGGTGTGTATGTGTGTGTGTGTCAGTGTGTGACAGAGAGAGAGAGGGTGATGGGGGATGAGAGGGGAACTGGTCACATAGGTGAGGTGTATAAGGACAGCTAAACCCATCGTCTGTACCTGTCTGTGCCTGTCTGAAAAATGTCTCCAGGATGATTCACAATAACCGATTGAAAAATCTTTATCCAGGCGTTTTTTTATTTATCTATCAGGGAAAAACTGGTTAATCAATACTGGTGTATGTCATGGAATAAAAGGTGAGACGTGCATGACTCCAGGCTGAAACGGCTGCAGCTGATTTACTTTTAAAAGACAATGAGGCCAATGGTGATGGAATTCAAATTAGCAGATTTAGTGCTTTACTACTTTCCATGACATCAATTTCCAGGCACTGGTGCTTAACATTTCATTGTGTTTGGCTATATAATTTTCAGATGAAAATAGTCTTTGCTCCACTACAGCACATTTAAAGCTGGAGTTAATAATTTACTTAATAATACTTTTTTTGCAGATGACATTTTACATATGAACCAGTAACCCATGAGGCACTGCATGCTGCAGTTAAAATAATCCAGAATTCATACAATGATGGTGCTTTACATTAAATGGTGCTTTGCATTAAAATTGAAGGTAAACAATAGGAATTTTGAAGATCACACAGCAATCGAACACTACAACAATAAAATATTGTTTCAGATGAGAAAAGAGTGAAAAGATTTTTAAAAAACATTGTAAAATAATAGTAAGATCAGAACCAGGAGAAATCACACACTGCAAAAAATGTGTGTTTAACAGAGATTTAAAAGAGGATAAGGGGTTTGTCAGGCGTTTCTCCTCAGGGAGATTCTTCCACAGAGTGAGAGCCCTGACAGAAAATGCCCGGTCACCTCAGGTCCTCAGCTGGGACTGTGGAATGGGGAGTAAAGGGCCTTTGCTGAGGACCTCAGGTCACAACCGGGCACATGTGATGTCAAAAGATTTCAAATATACTTAGGTGATTGGGCCTTAAAAGTCAGAAATAAAATCTTAAAATCAGTTCTAAAATGTCGCTACAATTCAGAGACTTGGTGTCACAGACATCAGTTACAAACAAAGTGAAAGTAATAGACGAGTACTTTACATACAAAAGACATAATTATAGGTTGTGGAGGCAATTTCTTTTGAATTGATTGCGAGGTCAACGCTGGTCTTTCTGAGATTGAATTCAGCTTCTGCAGATGGAGTCACACCACGTCACATATATGAGATGAGAGAATGAGCAAAGGGAAGAAGGAACAGAAGTGATATTTAACCATTGGTTGTGTAACACATTATCTAACATAAAGCCATGCCAAAAATAATATTTTGGTGGTGATGCACTCCTCATCTTGTCCTGTACTTGGACGTGCAGTGAAGTGATAGCATTTACACAAGGGTGTCATGCAAAGATACAAATTCCAGCAGTGGATTATTCTCTTTAAAGTATTCTGATCCGAGACTTTTGAACCCCAATGTGGATATTTTTATCTCCCCTAGATGGTTTTAACACTTATTTCTCCACTTAGACTTTATGTAGGTTACAGTTGAGAGCTTTAGAACCATGTAGATACACTACATACCCAAATGAAGTGATGCATTGTCAACACTTTACAACAATACTTTGGTGGTGTCAAGCACTTCATCTCATCTAGCTCTGATTTTGGACGTGCAGTTAAGGGTGCTTATAAAGTGTGTCATGGAAAGATTGTAAAGAATACAGTGTCGAAAGGACCATTTAACCTTTAAGATAAGGAATACGAAATAAATAATATAAAGCTTATACATTTCTAAAAGTAAAAGTCCTGCAGTGGATTATTCTCTTCGAGGACTTTTGGACTCCAATGTGTGTATTTTTATTTCCTCTGGAGGATTCAAACACTAATTTCTTCACTTATTCCTCCTCTGAGGTACAGTTTAGAGCTTTTGAACCATGAAAATACACGGACATGTATGATTTGTGCATCAAAAGGCAGCTTTATCCCCCAAATTCCTATTCAAATCATATTTAATAAACAGATCCGGCTCACATGTGAGTGAGAGCAGGGAACACGCTGCCTTCCAGAGACTGCTGCTCCTCCGGAGTCTGTCGACCATATTGTGGGGCCTTAATGAAACCAAGTTGTCATCAGCATATGGTCGAAGTAACCTGCTCTTCATATTACTGCAGCCGGTGCTTTTCATGTGCCTGCAGAGAGAAGTGTGGCTCAGAGCGGTCATTCACATCTGTTTCCCACTTGTACTGGATTATTACACCGCTTTATTAACGTTTCACTTTTAAAATCCGAAAACATACGATGGCAAAGCTGCTCCAGATGTGTCCCACATGACCGTGAGCGTTCGCCCTATCTGTCTCATCTTGTTGTATTTGCATATTTGTCCAGTAAATCTGATCTGTGGTCTCGCCTCGCTCCTACTTGGGGAAACTTTTGAAACCGACCCAACACTTTCCCTCCCTCACTCTCTCCCCCCCTCCCCCCCGCGCCTTCATCCCTCCCTCCGCGTTTTCTTCCGTCCAGAAACGGCGCAGCAGGACCCCGGTGTGTCAGAGGGCTGCACCGCTGCCTCACCCCTGCTCCGGAGCTTCACCACCAAACATCACTCTGGAAGTGTGTTTTCTCTTCTCCTTTCTTACAATTATACGGAATTTAACCGTGGAGGGAACAAAGGGGAGGGACGCTCAGAGCTGATGGACCCGGAGATGAGATAGCGCTCTTTGCCGAGCCCATCTCTCCATCCTTCCCGCGGCCGTGCAGTCGGACGGAGGGACGGTTCTTTTTTCTTTCCGGATGATGTAACTGTTATTTGACACACGGAGCCGCTCACTTGTGCTCAGAGTTTCCTGTGATCACCGGAGCCCGGAGGTTGTCCGACCAGCAGCCGGAGGTTGTCCGACCAGCAGCCGCATCCCCGCGGGACGTTGCGCAGTAATCGACCGGCTGTTCCTCCGGGGTCAGTGCGCGGCGGTAAGTGTCTCCACCATGACCACTGCTGGGCCTCAGAAAATACTTTTTTACACTACTTTTGAGAAGTAACGCCATTACTGCACGTTCTGCCATCACACGTTACGTGAGGTACTTTTCTCTCTTTGGTAAATAGTTTGTCAGAGCTGCTCACTGAAGAACGACAACTCCAGGAAATAAGATTTGACTGAAAAAAAATCTAAGAAATTATATTTCATTGACATAAGTGATTAAAAAATAAAAAAGGCAGAAGAAGACATCCTCACTTTTGTTTTGACTTTTACGTTACTTTACTTTACGTTACTGTAAACTATTCAAATTTAATTGGCTCAAAATTCAGAAAACTTTTTTTTTTAGAAAATAAACACTGATTCTGACTGTGAAATTATATTTTATTAATGTTACTGACTAAAAAAATTGATTTATGAGGAAAAATACGCATTAAACTGGACAGACGTTACCTTTAACTTTTACTTTATGTTACTTTATGCTCTGTTAGTGGAGACTGGTCCATTATAAGAGACTATACAAATCCACTGGACTTAAAATTTAAAAAAATAACCAAATTACTGAGCATGTTTTGTAGTCAACTGTCAACTGTGAAAAAAATTGAAATTAATTATATTTTATAAACGTTTAGACTAGAAGTATGTGAATGATGTAGACTGTAACTGTAACGATCCTGAAAACCGGTCCAGCACAAGAAACTACACGACTAAAACTGAATTGGTTCAAAATTCTGAAAAGAAAAATTGCAAAAAAACAAATGTAGGAGTCAACTCAACATTTTATGGCCGCACTTATGTAAAATACTAAATAACGTTTTACTTGTTATTTT